TGATTTATACACATACACATACACATGCACATGTATGTTTACTGCAGCACTATTCACAATAGCAAAGGCATGGAATCAACCCAAAGGCCCATCAAGGATAGACAGAATAAAGAAAATGTGGTACATATAAACCATGCAACCATAATATTATGCAGCCATAGAAAGGAACTAGATCATGTCCTTTGCAAGGACATGGATAGAGCTGAAAGCTGTTATCTTCAGCAAACTAATCCAGGAACAGAAAACCAAACACTGTGTATTTCCACTTGTAAGTGGGAGGTGAATAGTGAGAACACATGGACACATTAGGGGAAACAACACATACTCAGGCCTGTTGGGGGCAGGGGGAGGGAGAGCATTAAGACAAATAGCTAAAAGATGCTGGGCTTAATACCTAGGTGATGGGATGGTCTGTGCTGCAAACCACAAGTTTACCTACATCACAAACCCGCACATCCTGCACATATACCCCAGAACTTGGAAAAAATATATATATATATATCAAAGACTTGGTAATGTAAAAATGTAAGGACAGCCAAAAAAAAAGTCTAGTGCCTCCCCCCCATCTCTCACCATGTGACACACCAGTTCCTCTTGCCTTCCTCCATGATTGTAAGCTTCTTGAGGCCTCACCAGAAGCAGCTGCTGGCACCATGCTTCTTGTATTGCCTGTAGAACCATAAGCCAAATATTTTTTCTTTAAAAACTAAGAAAAAAAATTATAAAGTGCAGAAAGAAAAAACTATCAACCATGAATTATCTGGCAAAAGTGTCCTTCAAAAGTGAGGGGGAAATTATGACATTCCAAGATAAAAGCTAGGGAGTTTGTTAACTCCAAGCCACATGAACATATACTCTCCAATAAAGATAAATAGTTGGGCATATATTAAAACCAGGTTTTTTTTTCATAGCTCCACTTTTTATTTTCTGTAAGGTTTAAAAGAAATGCATAAAAAGTAATTATAAATCTGTTAGTGGATATACAGCATATAGATATAATTTTCACACCAATAATGTAAAGTAGGGATGGGAAACAGAGACGTATGCATGTAGAGTTTTGTATGAAATTGATGTCAATTCTAATTAGATTGTTATAACTTTGAGATATGATATTCAATCCCCATGGTGACAACAAAGAAAAGATATATAGACAATAGTCAAAGGAAAGTGAGAAAGGAAAAAGATTTGTCACTACAAAAAAGCAAATAATCACAAAAGACAACATAAGTGGAGGGAATGATGGGGGAAAGCTTTAATGTGCATAAAAACAAATAATAAAATGGCAAAAGTAAGTTCTTGCCTATCAGTAATTACTTTAAAGAAATTAAACCCCCAAAGGCATATATTGGCCTGGTAGATGTTAAAAAGAAAAAAGGCATAATTCAACTCTGTGCTGTCTACAAAAGACTTGCTTGAAATCTAAAGAAAAAAAATAGGTTGAAAGTGAAGGAATGGAAAAAGATATTCCATGTAAATAAAAACCAAAAGCTGAGGTAGCTATACTAAATCAAACAACATAGACTACATAATGATAAAAAGGTCAATATACCAAGAACATATAACAGTTATAAACATGCATGCACCAAACATCAGAGCCCCAAAGCACATTAATGAAACACTGACAGAATTGAAGAGAGAAATAATTAGTTCTATAATAGAAACTGCAGAAACCCACTTTCAACAACAGATAGGACAACTAAACAAAAGATCAGTAAAGAAACAGAGTAATGGAACAATACTGTAAACCAATTGGAGTAACAGACATACAGAACACTTGTTTTTCTCAAATGCGCATGAAAAAATATCAAAAAAGACTATGTTATGCCAAAAAAATGCTTAATACATTTTATAAGAATGAATTTATACAGAATATCTTTTCCAACCACAGTGAAGGAAACTAGAAGTCAACAGCAAAAGGAAAATTGGAAAATTCACAAATATGTGGAAATCAAGACACAAACAGTAGCATATCAGCCAGTAAAGAAATAACAAGGAAAATTAGAAAATACCTTATGATAAGTGCAAACAAAACCACAAAATACCAAAATGTATGGAGCACAGAGGAAAAAAAGTGCTAAAAGATAACATTAAAAAAGACTTCTAATCAACAATTTTACACATTAAAAATTTACAGACAACAAGCAAACAAAACCTAAAGCTAGCAGAAGGAAGAGGATAATAAAGATTAGAGAATAGTAAAAAAAACTCAGCGAAACCAAATTAAATTCTTCAAAAAGATTGACCAAAACAGACAAACTTCTAGCTATATTGGCAAAGAAAAAAAGAGAGAAGACTCAAAATCCTAAAATCTGTAATGAAAATGGAGACATTACTACCAGTCTTACAGAAATAAAAAGGATTGGCCGGGCAGGGTGGCTGATACCTGTAATCTCAACACTTTGGGAGTCTGAAGCAAGCGGATCACTTGAAGTCAGGAGTTGAGACCAGCCTGGTCAACCATGGCAAAACTCTGTTTCTACTAAGAACACCAAAATTAGTCAGTTGTAGCAGTGGGTGCCTGTAGTCCCAGCTACTTGGGTGGCTGAGAGTCAGGAATTGCTTGAATCCGGGAGGTGGAGGTTGCAATGAGCAGAGATCACACCACTGCACTCCAAGACTGTGTCTCAAAACAAACAAACAAAAAACAAAACAAGAAAAAAGAAACCAAGTGTTAATCAAAAGTAGAATGGAAAATTAAATCATAGTATGTTCATGAAATAAAGTGCTATATATCAATGAAAATGAACAAACTTCAGTTACATACATAATACATAGTAAGAAAACACCAGATTCAAAACAAACATGAAATATGATTCATTTATGTAAATTTCAAGAACAAGCATAAACTAAACTATTTTAAAAGTTAAGTCGCAGTGGTTACATGGGGAGAAGAGGAAACAGTAGGCACAAAGTAGGTCTCTGAGTTACCGACAGTGTTTTATTTCTTCACATATATACAGTACTAGCTACATAATTTGTGGGGCCCAGGGCAAAATGAAAATGTGGGGCTGCGTGTTCAAAAAGTTTAATGAATGTCTAAGTTGTAGAGCATCAGACCAACTAGTTTTTTTCTAAGGGCGTAGGGACATCCATGCAGCTAGCTTTGCTTCTAAACAGTTGTCCCTGGGTCTCCACAGGTGAATGGTGTCAGGAGCACCTGCATATACCAAAATCCACGCAAACTCAAGTCCTGCAGTCAATCTCACACAACCTGCATATACAAAAAGTCAGCCCTCCATATACATGGGATTCACATCCAAGACCTTGGGTTGAAAAAAACAAACACATATAAGTGGACCTGCCCAGTTCAAACCTATGTTCTTCAAAGGTCAACTATACTCACTTTATAACTCACTGAGATGTACTTCATGTTTTAATCACTTTTTTTTTTTAATTAGAGACAGAGTCTCCCTATGTCAGGCTGGAGTGCAGCGGCTGTTCACAGGCATTATCATGGTGCACTATAGCCTCAAACTCCTAGGCTCAAGCAGTACTCCTGCCTCAGCCTTCTGCATAGCTGGGACTATTGGCTTGGACCACCACACCTGGCTGTTAAACGGTTTTCTGTATGCCCACTGTATGTCACAATAAAACGTTAGTTTTTAGCTGGGAACAGTGGCTTACCCCTGTAATCCCAGCACTTTAGGAGGCCAAGGCAGGTGGCCTGAGGCCAAGAGTTCGAGACCAACCTGACCGACATGGCAAAACCCCATCTCTACTAAAAATAGAAGAATTAGCCAGGTGTGGTGGCACACTCCTGTAGTCCCAGCTACTCGGGAGGCTGTGACAGGATAATCGCTTGAATCTGAGAGAAAGAGGTTACAGTGAGCTGAGATTGCGCCACTACACTCCAGCCTGGGCAACAGAAAGCAACCCTGCCAAAAAAAAAAAAAAAGAAAGAAAAAGGTACATTTTATTATATGTATTTTATAATTAAAAACAAACCCAGTTATTGGTGTTAAGGCAGCTTTTTTTCTTTACATTTACCTCAACTCCCCTGTGTATTTGTGAATAATAGTGTCAAACTGGGCCCTTCAGAGCCCAGATTGGCCTTAACTGGCCTTGGGCACAGCTGTCTGGCCCAGGAGAGCTACTTTTACCTTAAATTCTGCTCTTTCAGTAGTTCTTAACCTTTGAGGTCACATATCCCTTTGAGTACTTGATGAAAGCTAGAGGGAACCTCTTGCTAGAAAAAAGTCAATAAACACAAAACTTGAGCTTATACTGTTAAGGATTAACACCCCAGCACCACCCCCAGTGGAACTCTAGGGATCCAAAGACCCCCAAGTTAAGAGCCTTTGTTCTAAAGTGACCTCCATGAGATGGCTGTCTTCTTGTCCTACTAAAATAGCAGATGTTGGCTAAAGGCCTGCTGCTTTTGTATTTTACAGACAATTGTTGCTGGGTGTATTTACTGTGATAGGGTCAAGCGCCACCAACTCTGGGGAAAGTTTAACAATCTCCATGAGCACATAGCAAGAGAATATAAGGCGGGACTCTGCATACCTAAGCCTGCTTTCTGTTCAGTCACCGCAGGTTTAACCTGCAGAAAATGAAGCCAGGGGAAGAAAGGATGGAGTTGGTTATTTGGATGACTTTAGCAAGAAAACAATAAACCATATTACCCTCTCTGCACTGAAGGGGTGGAGCTATGTAGAGGTCTTCAGTTCTAAAGTCTACCGCCACATTCCTAGCATATTATGACAAAATATCATTTACATGGTTAATCTGAGAGGGGCTTGACTTTCTCTTACTGATTCTGCGCTACCTTTGGCCATTTGCTGGCAGAATGCCCACACACCACAGGAAAGCTAACCATCCCATAAAGAAAACATTATCAGTGAATATCTTTTAGTTAGCCCAAAGAGGGGAAAGACGAATGATCTGAGAGCCTCCAACAAGACCTACACAAGGATCCAGCATCCCATGCAGCGCAAGCACTGTGGCCTCCACCCTTGACTTGACTAATGTCTTGTGTGTTACCTTTTTCTGCTTTCCAGTGCAGTGGGCCTTGCATCGGGCCTCACCTAGCTGTGCAACACAGACAAGTCTTCTGCCAGACACGGGATGGCATCGCCTTACAATCAGAGCAGTGCAGCGCCCTTCCAAGGTAAGAGAAAGCCCTGGACCTCCTTTCCCCAGCCCCGTGTCAACAGCATGGAAAGATGGTGGTGAGCAAATGTTTCTCCTCCAACTTTCCACAGTCCCAAGCCCTGCCCTCCCACCTCCATTCACCCCAAGGCACTGGCCTCCCCAGAGGCAGAGGATTCAGTGTCGGTCTTGTGTTTACCTAATGGGCTAGGCTGGGCTTTTCTCTCTTAGGGATGAAGAGTACAAAGGTGTTATTCTTCTGAGAGAGGCCTCATACCTTGAGAGACCCGCACTAGCTCCAGGGTGGTCAGGAAGTGAGGTCTACACAATAGCCACCAAGTCTCAAAGACTCCAGCCCCTCACTCTTGTTGACCTCCCTCTAGAAGTTAGGCTAGGGTGAGTGTCCTTGTTCTGGAATCTCAACCTACCATTCCTCTGCAGGCCCCATCCCTGTAACACTTCCTTATAGATGTCCCCCTGAGGAACAGGGGCTCACCACCCCACCTCCAAGCCCAGCCTCTGCCAGTCTGCACACTGGGGAGAGCTCATTCTTGAGTCATGCAGTGAGATCCATATTCATTACAGAGAAGAGCAGATGGAGGCCCAGTAGGAAGAAATAGCCTTCTTGAGATCGTATGGCCATTTACTAACAGAGATCAGAACCCAGGTCTAGTCACGCTGGAAGTACTTGAGGAATGGCCTGACATTTTGGGTTTGTAGCACTGTTTTCACATCTGCCCCAGATTTAGCCCCTATAGAAGCAAATCTTAACCCTGCCCCAATCCTCCTGCAGGCCCGTGAGCACCCAAAACTGCTGGTCCGAGGCCTGCAGCGTACACTGGAGGGTCAGCCTATGGACGCTGTGCACGGCTACCTGCGGCAACTACGGCTTCCAGTCCCGGCGTGTGGAGTGTGTGCATGCCCGCACCAACAAGGCAGTGCCTGAGCACCTGTGCTCCTGGGGGCCCCGGCCCGCCAACTGGCAGCGCTGCAACATCACCCCATGTGAAAACAGTATGTTCCAACCCCAAAGAACCTTCTGCAAATCCCCCACAGGGCATCTGGTGCAGAGAGCAGTCCCTGGGACCAAGCCTCAGCGTAGGGCATGGGGTCAGTTTCTCCAGGGATTGTGAGCTGGTGATAGAGTTGAGCATTTTCAGTGGGGTGCATGGGTGTGTGCAGAAATGTGTGTATAGGCATGGCAGGGTGTGCCCCAAGGGCTTCCACGATCTCCATCCTGGCCCTGAGAAAGCAACGTGCTTTGGCCAAGTCCTGGAGGAAATCCGCCTCCAGCTCCCCTGCTATCGGTCTGGCTGGTGCCCACAGGCATTGACTAAGCAACAACTCTCAGGGGCTAGACTACTAAACAGAAAGCACTGTTAACACTGAAGGAGCAGAGTGCCCTTCTGCTCTGTGCCCATCACAGCTTTTCATCCAACATAGACCTGCTGACCGCCTCACTCTCAGCCCCACGGGCATCCACTAGAACTTTCCAGGAGCACCCAGCCTTGGGATTTGATACTGACTTCACTCCCTCCTCCTCATCCCAGTACCGTCATTTGTATTCCAGTTGGGAAGGAGTCTATTTTTTTTTCTTCCTCTGTACCCAAACTGGAGGTACTTACCCATCAGAAAGAAAGCATAGGAAGTAAAAACCTAATGTAGCCATGCAGTTTCCTCCCAAACCGGGCCTCACTGAGAAGAAATTACCAACACTAAGGCAGATGCCATGGAGGCAAATAGCCCACTTCTTTCTCCACACTGGAGGATGGATGATGTTTGTACTCTGGGGTAGTGCTAACCCATGCTTGTGTCAGCGCCTCAGCATGCTCAGAGAGAGAACCAGTATTCAACGCATTTAGTTAAGACTTACCAAACCAAGTCAGCACAGAATATAAGACCATCTAGTGTGTGCCAGTACTGAACTGGAATGACCTGGGGCTGTGTTTAAGGCATGGTGGGCAGAAGGAAGAGGGAGTGGAGGGCATATCATCAGATTAATAAAGCTTAACAGAGGAAGTAGGTCCAAGTGCCTGGGGATGGGGGCATCCAACGGGAGCCTCGCTTACACCCTCCTGCAAGGTGGGGCTGAATGCAGTCCTGGGAACCATCTGAAGGAGGAGAGTCGTTTACTTAAAATGCCAGAACGCATGGGAAAAGGCAAGTTTGCCTAGAAGGTGAGGCGATCCCCTAGGACAGGGAGAGAACAGCCACCTTCAGGAAGTAGAGGGAGCTACAGAAAAGCAGCAGACAGCCCAGGGAGGGGCCCCATCATTCAGCCAGACTGCCACAAGCTGGTGCCACCGCCACTGCTGGCAGCCTTGGGGAGCAGGCGGCTGAGCTCTGTCAGAGTGAGGCTGGAGAAGAACGGCCCAGCCAGACCCCAGGATGTACCCTAGCGGCCAAAACACCTGGCTGCACATTTGCAGTGGCGGAATTTATTAGCCTCCGTTTCACATCTCTTTTTCTGTCCTGTCTCCCTACCCTGTCCTTCTTTCCCAGTGGAGTGCAGAGATACCACCAGGTACTGTGAGAAGGTGAAACAGCTGAAACTCTGCCAACTCAGCCAGTTTAAATCTCGCTGCTGTGGAACTTGTGGCAAAGCGTGAAGACGGGGCAGGGGGAAGACCTCCACCCTGGCCACACGAAGGACTCACGCAACCACCTCGGACAGAACCTAAGCTTTCTTCATTTTATTTATTTATTTCCCTCCCCACCCCACACACACCCTTTCAACCTCCTCCACCCTCAAGCATGAGGACGTCCACATGTTTTCTTTTTCAATTAGCTGGAGGACAGGATGTTGGGAAAGGAGAGGACAGGTGTCTAAAGGAGGTTGCAGAGCAGGCCAGGCAGACAGCGGGGGCTTCCTTGAAGAGCTTCCTCCCTCCCAAACCTGGGTCTCAGACCCAGGAAGAGGCAGAAACAGCCCCTGGGGACAGCAGGGATCCAGAGGTTTGTAGCCTGTTGATGCAAACATTGGACAAACACCTGTGTCTTTCCTAGAAGCACACTATCAGAAATGCAGGAGTGTGCTGCTCCTTTGTCTCCTCTTTCTCCATCTGTCCCTTTAGTCACGGTTAGGACAAACGAGGACGGGAAGGGGACACCACGCAGAGGCAGAAACTAGCCCAGAACTCAGTTGTTCCAGTGGTGAGTTGCAGAGAGAGGAGAACTCAAATCACCGACAGGGAGAGGTAAAAAAGGAATCAATCAGAGCAGGCCTAAGGCTCACAATGTTGCAGAAATAAATAAGGGAGGGGAGGGAAGGGACAGAAGCAAACAGGTGCGCAGGGGTGTCCAGGCTGCATGAGGCTCACGGACAGGCTCTGATCCCATGCATGCACGCATGCTCAGAGCGCTGTTGGCCACGACAGAGCACCGCGCCGCATGGGAGTCCCCACTCCCCAGGCTATCAGAGTCAACGTCCTGTCTGTGCTGCTGCGGCAAAGCCAGCGAGAGGTGCATCTGGCCGTGCAGTAAGGCCACCCTGGCACCTGTTTATCTAAATCAGGAGTCCTCCAGCCCTGCACTAACTGCGGCTGTGGGCCAGGGCCATTTTGAGCATGAATGGGCCAGGCTTTCTGCCTTCTAGGACTTTTGCTGTTCCACCAAAGGGCCAGGGACAAGGCTCAATTTGTCAGCATCAACCCATTAACTAATCACTTTGCCAGAGAGTATCTGCCAGGCTTTCAGGTTGTAGCAGCCTCTTCATTCCACAGCTGGCCAGGGACCGGGGTGGGATGGTGAGTTTATGAATGCCTGCGATACACCCTCCCTCTCCCATCTACCACCCTGGGGTCTGCAGGCCCTGTCACAGCACAGTGAGACCTGCTGCATGTAGTATTTATCTAGCAAGGCAGGGCGGGGGAGGCAGCACCCTGGCAAAGCAGTTCATACACTGCAGCCACACTCATCAGCTGTGGCAAGGCAGCTGGAGCAAAGTCAAGCAGCAAAATGAACACTCTGGGACTCCTTGGCAAAATGCTCATTAAGCTGAGCAGCTTTGGCCAAGTAATTTTTGCCTCTTTCCCCACTAGTGGCCTCAGTTTAGGACCAAGGGCGGCCAGAGTCACTTACCCTCAGATAAGCCTCCCCATGAAATGCCATTCACCCCAGGGCTTGACATTAGGGCTGCATTTTCCAGCCAGCCTGGAAGTAAAATTTGAGGGGAAGACAGTATTAATCTGTGTCCCCCCCACCCCAGTGAGCTGTGGACAGTTAAGTTGGGTCTCTTGCTTCCTCACCACAAAAATAGGCTCTAAGAAATCATATTACTAAAAATCAGTGTAATGTCTGTTTAAAATAAAAGAGAATGTTTTCTATGTCTGTATATCTTTTGTGAATATTAGGAGTTCTTGTATTAAAAAGTGTAATATTAATAATTGTACATTGTCATCCAGAGAACTCTTGGGGGGACTTTATTAACTTTCTGCGGTTGTGTTCCTGTAAACTTGGTAGTGATTATTATATTTTTTCCTATTTTTTAATAGAACCTGGTGTTTAACTCTGGATCCATTCACTGTGTACAGGATATGTTGTAAAAACTAATATGGGATGCTGTGGCAGTAAGAGGGGATTCATTTGTGGCACAATAGTTCATGGAATGATGAAGACAAATTCCACACTACTACTAACGTGGTTAATTATTTCTAGTTCAATAGCGATTGAAAATCAGTGGTCACTATTTACATTTCCTACCAGCAAGCAGCCGCCAGCTCTGTGTTGGGTTGGAGCAGTTGGCAGTGGGTCTCAGTGAGCTGGCAGAGCCTAGGTTTGGGTGGGAGGCAGAGTGCTCCTTGCATGAGATGAATGTACATTTAATGTTTGTTCTGTGAATTACAACTCAGCAGCACCACAAGACTATGAAGGCTGCTGGCTAATGTGGAAGGAGGCACTTTCTCCTCTAAAACACAAAACTGTATTTATATTTTTTGTACAGATAATACAGCTTATTTATTTAAATCTCCTCGTCTGAGTCTCTCTTAAACTCAGCCTTCCCCTGGTGGTTGATGCAGGGAGTGAGAGAAGTCCCTGTCAGTTGGATGGTTCCCAGCAAGTTATTTGTGTCTGGCTGAAGTGTAAGGCTTGCAGTTTTCACCTTCACACGAGAAGCTGGGGGCCCATGCCTGGAAGCGCTAGCTGTATAAATAAACCCAAAGAAGCTGTGTTTGTAGACATGCACACGTTCAGGCTGAGGGCAGCAGAATGAGATGAGAGTCATCTCATTGACAGCCCTTTGTGGTGGGACGATGGGAGCCACAGTACCTTCAGGAAGTGAAGCAAACAGGGGCATCTCTTGGGAGAGGTGCACACTTGCGTGTGGAATTTTCCTCATTCATCAGGCTTCCTGCCCACAGAGACGTGCACAGTATGAGGCGGCTGCACGGTGAAAGTTTGGATGTATTAATAAAGACTTACACTTACAGATCAAGGCTACATTGAATCCTCACATCAACCCTCTGATTATCTCCATTTACATATGGGAAAATAGCAGTGCAAAGAAGCCCAAGGTCACACAGCTGGTGGAACTAGGATTCAAAGTCAGGCAGTCCTACTCTAGCCGAAGACTGGACTTGACCCACCGTGCTGCCTTCTGCCCAGCTGCCTGCAACTGCCGTGCCATGGCCACCTTAGGCATGCACGCCCTTCTCCCCTACTGCTTTCTGGTTGGTCGGTGATAATAACAGGACATTTTACTGAAATGGTCGCTTTCTCCTGCCCTAAAGGCAGTTCTTTTACCATGATAGCACTTCTAGATCCCTATTTTTAAAGCATTTTAATAAAAACAGCTACCATAGGAAGTGCGGAGGGTGAAGGGGAGAAGCATACCTGTAGAGCTCTCCATAAACAGGCCCTAGTGAAAGGGCAGCATGTCGCCAGGCATAGAAGATGTCCACACAGGGACCACAGTGAGAGATGCTCCAGAGGACCCATGGCCTGAACGCCAAACTCCAGCTGGTTTTCCAGCAGCTCGACACAGCACATCACAGTCCTGTTGAACAGTGTGAAAATACACCAGAAAGCTCTTCTTGAAATTTCCGTTATTTTTTTAAGTTTTAGGTTTTGCTTTTAAAAAAAAAAAAAAAAAGCCAATGCTAGAACTATAAATATTCACATACCAGCAACCAAACAATGTCCTACAGAGGCCCCATGGCAGGAGGAAGGAGCTGAAAATACCAGAGCAAAAACCCAGTAAAGCTGAAATGGTGGGAAGGGCTCAAATGCAACGTATGGAAATTTTTCCAGCCAAAAACATAAGAGTCTTTGCTTAGCCTCAAAGGTTTCCAGGAAATCCCTAGTCCCATTAAGATCAGGGTGGTCAACAGTCACCGAAGCTCATTCATGCCTCAGTTTCTTCATCCAAGAGCATATCTCATCGGGTAGGGCTGTGCGAAAACAATTAGTTAATTCATGTTGAATCGCTTGAACCCAGGAGACAGAGGTTACAGTAAGCCAAGATCATGCCACTACACTCCAGCCTGGGCAACACAGCAAGGCTCTATCTCAAAAAAAAAAAAAAGAAAAAAGGATAAAAAAGGGGGCAGTGGGTATGTGACACATCATGGAAGCACTTACTCAGTGTTAATTGCTATTATCGTCAGCATCATCTAAGTTACCGTGGAAGAAACAGGGAGATGAAGGGCAGGGCTGGCAGAATTTTTGCTATTTTACATCATTTCCCATTGTCAGCTTTGAAAGACTCCCCAGTGTTCCCATTTTTACTTAAGAAGGAAATCAACGGCTCCTCCAAAGCTCAATGCTACACAATAGCCAGGTGCAGTAGCTCACACCTATAATCTCAGGATTTTGGAAGACCACAGTAGGAAGATCGCTTGAGGAGTCTGAGACTAGCCTGGACACGGCGAGACCATGTCTCTACAAAAAAAATTTTAATTACCTGGCATGGTAGCTCACACCCATTGTCCCCAGCTTCTTAAGAGCCCTGAAGCTTGAGGCTACAGTGAGCTGTGGCCAGGCTACTGCACTGCAGCCTGGGTGACAGAGTTAGACCCTATCTCAAAAAAATAAACACAAAACTACACAATAGTATAAACAAGAAAGACATCAATGAACCAAGTTCTATGTCTTGGAAGAAAACCTATCAGTCGATGTATCCAACTCAAAGACTCACCAAAAAACTGACAAAATTCCAGAAATACTACTTCCAGGACAAATGTTGTAATGCCAATGTACTGCCTAGTCTCAAAGTACCCAAATGTACATATAACTACCATTTCCTTCAAGTAACTAAAAATCATGGAGAGATATTTATTCATGAGCAAATATACAAATAAAGGCTAAAATTAAGGATATTTCACTTGCAAGTGGTTGAGTTTCTCATAAATAACATGCAGTTATCCCCTCACTTCATCCGACAAATAAACCCAAAGAAATAGTCCACCTTTTTTAATAGTTTTCAGCTAAAATGAGACAAGTTAGATCTCAATAATCTGTTAGCGGGTTCCCAAAAGAAGTCAAAGCCATCTACAAAGGGTCAGGAAATGGTGGTGTAGAGAAAAAGATGGAGCATTGGGAAGAAACCTAGTGAAAACTGACCTGTGAAGTGCATTAACCCAGGGAAGGATAAATCAGGAAACAAAATCAGACATAACTCCCCTTTGGTCTTATCTCTCTGTGTTCCTCCTTTTGTTCAGTAAACCAACTCAAACTTAAAGACTTCAGGATTCAGACTCAGTCTGCACTGAATGTGAATTAAATCAGAGAAGGTTATCTACCCATATCATATACTGCCAACTGGGACAATATTGGCATTGATTGATTTAAGGCCTTGAAGTAAAGACTTGAATACCCAATGAATTCAACAATCCTCCAAGTTTAACCTCAAATGAATGTCTGCTCCCCACCCACCCAGTTCACTTGGAGATGCTTTTACAAATCAAATATGTATGAGCTTGTTCAGAGACTATTCTCTTTGGCTGAACCTCAGCCTATTCATAGCACCCCAAGATTTTCAACTGCTTTGTTGCCATCCCAAAACTGAAAGGCAGATATTAGTAATTAAGCCTTTGCTAAAACAACTGGGCTACCACCTTTTCAACTTGAGTTTTAACAACTTCACTCAGATTCTGTGAAACACCTGGTCCCAACCAACCACGTGTCACGCCTCTGATAACACAATATACAGATGTCGCTCACCTCTGTGTTTTCAAAAGGCAAAATCCATCTCCAACTCAGGATTTCCCAGGCTGCCCCTAAAAATATGGTTTATGTGTGTATAAACAGAAATTAAATGTGAGGTTTTATGTGAGTGAGGAAAAAGCAGACAGTCAGGAATGGTTCTCCTGCCGAACGTAAATAATGTTTGTTTAAGCAGAATGCCTAGGAGAGCCTGAGAGATTGCATGGTCAGCATTCAGACCAGAAAACATGCCTGGGAAGTCTGCCTCCCCCTCCAGGTCTTCATGATGACTAGGGTGGACTTTGTTATAAATCCTGTGAAACATACCAGACAAGCTGTGAACAACTTAGTTACCAGGTGAGCAAGTTGAGGAAACATCTAATGGTGAAGGCCAGGAGTGTTGTGATAAAAGTGTGTCATGGGCTTTGTTTTCTTTCCCTAAGCCCCCATCATCATTTTTTAAATAACAGTGGAAGGGCCAGGAAATGGCTTGCCTGAGGTTAGTGAAGAATGGCAAAATTGTTTTTCAGTCACCCACCTACAGACAATCCCTGCATTACTATGATTTGACTTACAGTTTCTCAACTTTACACAATGGTGCAAAAACAATACACATTCACTACACTTCTTCACTGACAATGGGCTATGTCCAGATAAACTTGTCAGAAATTTAAAATACTGTAAATCAGAAATACACTTTTGATTTCTGATATTTTTTACTTCTAATGGGTTTATCAGACATAACTTGATTGTTGAGGAACATCTGGGTTCTCTCTCATGGCTAGAGGCCAGCATATGTCAGTGCTGGAGCACAGGGCAAGTGCCAGCCATGGACTCCTGAGCTGAGTTTCTTCAGCCCGAACAGACCCCTCCCTGCTTGAGTGAAGAGATTCAAGGTAACCCCCTAAAAGCAGGCCCCCATAACCTGAATCTTCTGCACCCTTTGCATGGTGAGGATTTGCCTTCGTACTTGGCAAAGTACGAAGCTGGGATGGAAAACAACCAAAGACCTCATCTAACCCTGGTGGTCCTTGCTCGACCCTTCCCTTACCAGATGAGCCCCCATCCCTTCTCATCTCATCTTGTTCTTCCTCATTTCTTTTTCCATCACTTATCTTTCCTTTTCCTCAGAGTTTATCACACTTTGCTAAGCACCAACTCTGGGCTCCAAGGACACAGGGGTGAGAGCCTAGTCCCTGCTTTAAGGGAGCTCACAGTCTAACTGAGAAGCAGACACATCCCACAGCAAATGATAATGTTTCCTACCACAGTTATGAAGTCCAAGTTCTGGGGAATCTCCAGCTCTTCTCCCTCATTTGGCTCCTTCCAGAGTCACACTCAGTGATTGCTCTCTTTAGTCCTAATCCTCTCTCACTGGGGCATTTTCAAAAGTCTCCTAACTGGATTCTTTAAATCTACTCTGGTCTCTTCCAATCCACGTTCCACACAATAGCTAAAACTATTGTTATATTGCCTGTAAAACTTCATTTCTGCCTTCATTTCATTATTTATCCGGTCATCATTCAGGAGCAGGTTGTAGTTGTGTGGTTTTGAGTGCATTTCTTAATCCTGAATTATAATTTGATCACACTGTGATCTAAGAGACTGTTTGTTATGATTTCCATTCTATTGCATTTGTGGAGGAGGGATTTACTTCTAAGTATGTGGTTCAATTTTAGAGTAGGTGCAATGTGGTGCTGAGAAGAATGTATATTCTGTGGATTTAGGGTGGAGATTTCTGTAGATGTCTATTAGGTCTGCTTGGTCCAGATCTGAGTTCAAGTCCTGGGTATCCTTGTTAATTTTCTGTCTTGTTGATCTGTTT